TTTTACTTTACTAAACCCACAAATGGTTAAGTTGCGCAATAAAGTTATTATTAGTTAATGAAATCACGAGTACGAGGTTTGACCTGGGCGCGACGTGCACTATAAAGTACCATTGATGACTCATTCGATACCTCCAATCACCAAAAGAATTATTAAGTTAAAGCAAAGATACTGGTGTCTTTGATCAAAGCTTGGCAACGTCTCAGTGTGTACTCGTTGTCAACGGTTTATCGTTGTTGCGTTGCGCAACAGTCAAAATCGCAATCTTAGCTCGTATCTCGCGCATGCGTGGCGCGACGACCACCGCCTTTTATTTTGGTTGCCAAAATACGGTTGTTGTGACAATGTAGATAACTCTAAGTATTTCTTTAACATACTTAATTATTAATAAAATATGATCCTCATGATTAGCTGTAAAATAAAACCATTGTTTGGACAGCTTACTTACTGGAAAACGAGAACAGGCATGCACTCTGGATTTACCGATATACGGTCGCGTTTTCAGCATTTCATCTTTAAACAAATATTGATATGTTTTTGGTTTTTTTACTGTAAATTATTGTTTTTAATATAAATTATAGTCCGGTATCTTAAAAATTAAATATCAAACATATCATGGGTGATTTAATGCCAATAAAATGATATAAAAAAGGCATGTACATAGAAATAAATCAGCATTCGAGTTAAGGTCAATTGAACAAACAAACAAACAAACACTTCTTTGTCTATAAGATTTATGACGCAAATCAAGACGATTTATAGTTTTCAAGTACGCTCGTATGTTGTGAGATTACGTCAGTAACGACGCAGGCTCCGAAGATTATACATGACGTCCACAGTCAACGGTTTATATTTACCCAAGTTTGTACAAAATGATTGCACATTTTCAGGAGTTCACGTTACTAAATTTGAATGTTTACCTGTGAACACCTGGTGTTATATCAAATGGATACTTTAAAGATTCTCTAAGTTGTTTTATAAATAAGGAACTGCGAACAGGAACGACGAAATTACGAACAATTTTAACGTATTCGGGCAAATATAACCCGTGAAGCAGAAACCACACAAATGGTCTATTGCTAGATTCATTTCTTCAGAACAAAGACACTCTTGATATGCGCACAGCACAGCACGGCACCCCCACCTTTTGTCAAGCTCGTTGTGTGTGTTTTTTTATTTTCTCGTCAAATTGTTGCTGCAACATTCAGCATGTTTTCTACATTTTTTCCTATAAATTTCTTTTTAATTTGAAACGCAATGGTTTACTATTTCCTGTACGTATTTGCTATTTTTAGAGAGATACAGGTGAAAAAAAGTTACGTGAGGTTATTTTGCGAAAGGTGAGACAATTTTAGTAATGTTCTAACTTCTAGTAATAGTAAGTATTCGAGTTTTATTCCTATGTGCAAAAATATCAATTGACTGACCTCCGGCTCAGTGTGGACACTGGCCGCCGCCCTTCAGAAGAACCCCGGGCATAGTCATTTGAGGACTAAAAATCCAAATAAATCGATCAGGAAACAATAAAATAGTACTGACCGATTTATTTGGATTTTCAACCCCTAAAATGACTGTGCCCCGGAAAAGGACAGTGTTTCGGATTACAACTTGAAATCCCAGTACTTTTACTAATTTTGATTTTTAGTTTGCGCTTCAGTAAAGTATCTACTAATAAATATTAGTATTTCCTGTCTTCATTTAAGCGCAGTCCCTCTATAGATATGGGCATTGTGATTTTAGCTAGGAAAAGCGCACTGGCAGTCAACAGTTTTTAAAAGGGTGATTGCTCGAAATATGCAAATCAGCGGGCACGACTGTTTACCCATAATGCAGCACCACCGCAGTCACTGACGTCACCATCAGCTGTGGCCAATCAAACCTGCTTTTACAGCTTACATGGCCGCTGCCTGTCGTATGTGAAGACAGAAATGGATGCTTATAAATTTGGTAATAGTCGTGTTGAAATTATGTTGTAAAATGTGAAACGAGCGAACGCTACCTAGTTACAGATAACAAGAAGATTTCGAAGATGCGGTGTTCTGAAAAGCTTGTCAATCGGACAGTGTAATCTTGGTTTTTTCACCGGTTTTTTAATCGTAAACAGTGCAGTGTGTGTCTCATTCGAGCTGTCTCACACATTGCTTGGCTTTGCTCAAAATGGGCAATCATGGATCGTGTTGTCGGTGTACTTCGAAAGCTGACAGAACCAATCGAGAGAACGACTACAAAGTAGCAGACGGTGAACTTTCGCTGAAGGATGAAAATAGTGCAAATTTACAACATATAAGCGATCGAGAGCGAAATGAAGGTAAATTGATATTCCAATCTTGTCAGCCTTGTGTTGCAAATTTCCAATCTTTGGGCGAGGCCCGGTTGTCGATTCCGTTCGCAACTGTTCGTTAACACGTTGTCAGATTTTGTATTCAATTATATAGAGAAGCCAGTGTCACATCTGACTGTAGTCGACACTGTTACCACTGTTGCAAAAAACAGTCTTATCTTAAATGTTCTAACAAAAAAAAAACAGCGTCTGACACCCCCAGGAGGGTTTTCATTTCGAATGATAGCGTTGCATTTTGTACAATTAGTCCCAGTATCAACCATTGAAGTAAGCCGGTAAACAACGGGGGTCGACATTAATGAGTTGCCGGTTACGTATTGCATTATTATATTTCCATATCGTAATATATTAAAATGATTATTAAATACCAGTATATCAATTGTATCTAATATTCCCTTCAATTTGAGCCATAAATATTTGTTATATTTTGCAGCCAACAAATATTAATAAACATTTTGAAAAATAAATATATATTTATTTACTTATATTCACAACTTAAAATGTAAACAATATTGTTAACTGCCTGGACTCTTTTGTTTGGTTTAATTATGGAGCGTATAGTCTGAATGTAGGCATAATATACAGTGCCGGTCTGAGGTCACAAGCACCTTGTTTCAATAAGTCAGGATGCAGGCAATCTACCTGTAATTTCATTGCATTTATATTATGAAAAAACAAAATAAATTATCCTGAAAATTTTATTTACATTGGAATATTATTTTATTACCATTTCAAATGCATTGAATTGAAGGGATACATTTCTCTGCAGAGTAGAGGGGTATATATTGTAATTACATTAATGGGTAGTGGTCCTAGTACAGCGCATGTTCAAATTTAGTGTATTAAACGATGTAATTACACACATTGTGTACATTGATGTGGAACTCGTATCGAGCAGGACATTGTACGACTACCATCGCCCTTTAATTCAAAGTTATTAGTAAAACTTATATGGTGGCTCAAGGGCAATGTACATTTTTTTATATGTGAACAAAATGTAGGTGTATAATTATGATACCAGAATTGATGTAATATGGCTATGACTGCTGTGGTTGGGCATGACTGACTTTATTAGTATTGTGGTTTAAACTTGTATATATTTTTTCATACGTTGATACCGCCTTTGATATATTTAGTAGCACATGCGCTTACAAAATTGACAGAGGAGCGTGGATATTGTAGAAATAAGTCCTATTTTAATTATGCAGCTTACAATTTAATGTAATTTTTAGTGTGTGTGCTTCTATTGGAGATGTGCTGTACTACAAAGAAACCTAACATAAATGAACACTTAGGCAAGCCAAAATGCCCCAGTTTTTCGTGTTCTGGTAACCAGTAGTATAGTAAAACTGTACCTGTCTGATCTTGCAATCTTTATGCCAGTCTGTTTAAACAATATGTATTCGTGATTTATGTACACAAGTACAAGTTCAAAGTTTAATGAGTTTTTAGAAACCAGTTGCAATTCACTGCTGAGAAATGTGGCTATTTTGGCTGAAATTTGTCTCACAAAAGTAAAGTAGGGTAGTTTAGAATGTTGTGAGATCATGTGAGGTACATTTTTGATAATTGTTCCTGTTATATTTCTTTTGACTTCACACCTACACGTCATCCAAATGTTCAAATAGTGACTAATTTGAGTTTAACACTTGTGAAATCCTTTAAGGAAGTTACCGGTACCAGTACATTCCAGTGTAATTGGAGGGAAGGTATGTTTGAGACTTTATTCATGTACTGTAGGTAGTATGCAAATTTAGCGATGAGAAATCTTATAATTTAAAAAAAACAGATGTATTTAAATGCAAACTGCATGTAAGTATAAAATTGTTTCTTCGATAGTCCACTTCCGAGAGAACATTCAGTTCCCCCATTGAGAAAATTTCTTGAACATAAAAGTGTACCGGAACTAACAGTAGTTAGTAGAATATGCAATACTCATTACCATACATGTATAACGCATTTCTCAAATCGAGGTTCAAAAATCATGACTACTGGTGTATTGCATATTTCTCAAGGTTCAAAAATCCTGACGATATTACACATTTCTCAAGTTGAGGTTCCCACAGTTTTGTAGTGCTCAGTACACATGATGATGGACCTCAACACTTAAAGCGAAGGAGGCAGAACTTAAAGTGCTACAGTCGTCGCACAATGTAGTGTTAAATCTTGGCTTCATAGCGATGTATACAACGCATGTGAAATGCATTGTTTATTAACATGAAATTAGAACACATGCATGTTCATCCTCCTGTAGAAATCACTACAGTTTATGGCACACTGTCTAGTGTCACATAAAAAAAAAAACTCGTTATTGTTAAGTGAATGACTTGAGGGTTCTTTGTAGTTTACTTCCTGTTGTTTTCTAGTGTGCATGGAACCGTTATTCAGGATACTGTATGTGTACATCAGCTGGCTTGCATTGTCCTGTAGGGAAATATACACAAGAACATAACATGTAAACAAACGAAACCAATAAGCATGTATTATAAAAGACAGAGGTGTATCTATGGTCAAAATAAATCATACTGTAGAATACTTTATTTTTGCTTGGAATTTATTTTCGCTATTTTTGCTGAAGGGATAATTTCGTGAAAATAAAATCCAGCGAATATACTTTTTTTTCCCTATATTTCACATTCAACTCATCAAAAATCAGTGAAAATAAATTCTATACCGAACGCCCAAAAAGCCTTTTCAGCGAAAATTAATTCCAGCAAAAATAACGTATTCCACAGTATACTGTAATTCTCTGTAGGATGGTCATGGCTCACACACTTTTGGGAAAGGAATTTTCTGAAATTTTGATACATTATTCATTGAATTTTGAGTCTCAATGGTATGTATTTTGCCCCCTTTCCAATTCATAATAGTCACCAAAGTAGGATTTAATATTGTTGGAAAATCACAAAGTCATTGTTTTCATGCATCACGTTTAGGTACTCCCCTTTTTTTTTATTTGCTCTTTGTAAGAATATAATGAAGTGAACTTTTGTGTGTGATAAGTACATGTACTTCTATACCATTTCCTCCATTAATGGCATCTGTGCATTACATACTTGAACACGCGGAGTTCTTCACCCCGGGGTATTGTCGGTAACCATATTGTAGGTCAAATTATGGCACACTATGTAGTCATCCCTGTGGAAATTTTTGTTGATAAACAGGAAGTGCCAACAGGGTAGTTTTATATTTCCATCTTATACATTATAAAATACTAAGCAGAATTACCTGACAAATCTACCTTATATTTTATATTAGAATTCAATAAAATTTTTCTCGGATAATTAATTTTAGATTGATGATCAGTATGAATGGTGTTATACAGTACATTTTGAAAAATTTACATTTTTCATATCTAGTGAATAGTGCAGAAATATAATAAAACTTTCAGGGGAATTTTTACATAAATCATTTATTTTAAGAAATGAGCTTTCTTTGGATATAATACCTTGACTGTAGATGTTTTTTTTGTTATAATTTGTGACTTGTGTAGTTTGGTCGTTATCAGTCAATGCCAGAATAACTATTCTTAGCGTTCATTGCTGACGTATTTGTGGATTGATGACGTGTTGGTGAACCACAACTCACTGATCAAAATACATTTTTTTTCTGTTGAAAGATTATTTATTTTGTAGATGGCCAAGTAGCTGTTCTATTTAGATGCATGCCACATGACATTTTAACATACTCATCTTTTAACGTCCCCACAACTTTTACACGATTTGTATATTCGAAGAACAACTCCTAAAAATTGTGTATGACAAAATAATGCCAGTCGCGTCAAAAATATAAAAATGTTTGTATAATATTTGTGTGTTTTTTAGGGGGGGAGGGGGTGAATAATCACATTACAATTATCAAATGTTCTAATTGGTGTTCCACAAATCATTTCATTTATTGAACCAATCGCAATGCAACAGTCCTCTTTGGGTGAATGATATCCTGATTGGACGTAAAGCTGACTGTACCATGTGTTGTCCCTATAAGTGCGCAGTGTGTTCAGGGGCGATATGCTAGTAAATGTTACCTGAGTTCCTCAAACTTTTGCCAGTGTCCGCGAAATGAATAGGTTCAATATATTGTGCATTCTGCAATGCCACAACTTTTTTTGTGTGTGTGCCTCAAGTCATCATATGTATACAGTCGCATAACATTTATTTTTTCGCTTTCTTGAAGACTGATCTCCCCCAGCAGTCAACAAGCTGACTCAACTTAATTTGGTGGGATTTCATTTTGACTTCCAACAAAATCAGTCCTGTTAGAAGGTGCTGCAATGAATGTTTACCGTACTTACTCCATTGCGCTCTCTAGTCCTAGTAAAAACAAAATAACCCAAATTTATATTGAATTAGTAATGGGAATTGCTCCTGTTGGTCTTTTAAATAAATCAATAAATCATTTTTGTTTCCAAAAAATCAATCTTTAGTGAAGTTGTGCGACTGCTGCAGCAATACTGCCAAGCGTTATGATGCAATCGTGGACATAGCCAACCACTTATCAATAATGGGTCGTTGTAGTCATTATGGCTATGATGGATAGATCTGATCAAAGACAAAAGTCACTCGTTGTATTGGGATAAAGAATATAATAATAAAAAATAAAATGTACATGTCACTCAGGCTTTGGGGTTTTTGTATGGATTTTCAAACCTTGGTATTTTAAAGTATGTTCACCCCACACAACGAGAATTCAAAATACATTCAAAATAAATGGTAGTCTTGGGCTATTCTAGTTTATATACTGTAAATGTACTGAAAATGCGCTAAATTAAAACCCAGTGAATATGTAAAATTTAGCATAGAACACATTATCTGAATGATAAAACCGTGAATTTAAAACCCACTGAATGTGCCTGAAATGGCAAATCAGTGAAATTTAAACCAGGTGAAAATTAGTCATTTTACAGTAAACATTTTTTATGTTTAACCTTTTTACTACTAGTTGCCTCTTTTCATCACAAGTTTACA